CGTGCCGGTCACGCTCTCGCAGCGGAGGGAAGTGGGGGTCGGGCTGCGGTCAGGGGCAGGCGGCCAGTGCCACACCCCAGCCGGGAGGGCGGCGGGCGCAGCGGGAGCCCTGGGGCGCTGGTGGGGCGGAGGCCCAGTGGGGAGGCCCGGAGGCCCCTCGGCTGCCGCCTCCTGGCCGGGGTGGGGCCGTGAGCTCCATGGGTGGCCCTGCCCCCGGCACCGGCAGGAGCCCTTCACAGAAGCGGGGTCTCGGGGGAGGGGTGAGCACGCCCTCCGTCCGCTAGGATGGCGACACCCCAGCCCCGAGGCCCAGCTCGGGGGACTCCCAGAGGGCACCAGACCGAGCATCACCTGGGGGTGAAGCCGGGGCCCCCGGAGGAGCCGGTGAAGCCCAGCACTGTCCAGGGGCCACCTCCTGCCCAGCTGGGCCCACCAGGACCCCCACCTGCACCTGTGGGACTTCTCTGATGGGCCCTCAGCAGGGGCCCCCCACGCCACCCACCTGGACCCCGCAGCCCTCGGCAGCTGCTCTCTGCCTGAGCCCCCACTCCTGCCTGGGCCCCCTCTCCCACCTGAGCCCCTCACTCCCACCTGAGCCCCCCACTGCTTCCTGAGCCCCCACTCCATCTGGGCCCCTCCCCACCTGAGCCCCCCATTCCTGTCTGAGCCCCTCACTACCACCTGAGCCCCCCACTCCCACCTTCAGCCCCCCACCCCAGCCTGAGCCCCCCACTCCCGCCTTCCCGTACACCTCTCTATAGCTGCGTCTGTGTCCTGGGCACTCGCCTGGGACTCTGGGCACCTTTCCCAGGGGACCCCGAGGACCCCGCTCCCCAAGCCCTCGGGCTCGAGAGGCAGACAGCGCCCCCGTGCCCGCCTCTGGGCCCAGAACAGGAAGGCTGCCCCCCCCGGGCACCAGCCCCCCGCGCCCCCCCGACCCAGGGTGCCACGGAGCCTCCCCACGCTGCGGCCAGAACACGGCACACGTCCACCAGGCGGCGTGTCTGCAGGCCGGGGGCTGAAGCCGCGGGCCTGGGGTCCCGCACCGGCAGGGACGTCGCGGTGGGCACACCCAGGGGCCGGGCAGCCAGTGGACACCCGCAGCCCCACCGGTGCTGCCCCGTCCGCCCCCGGCGCCTCCCCGGCCTCCAGCCCACACTGGCCACTGTCCGCACCAGCCTCCCGCCGGGCCCCTCTGGAGGGGCGAGTCCAGCCTTTCAGGTGACGCTACTGGCCCTCCCCTGACCGGACTTCACACAGTGGTCCCCCCAAGACCACCTCCAGGACTGGTCCCCCACGTCCCCCCAGGTCCACTGCCCCAGCAACAGCGCTCTGGCCTCTGGGGGCCCAGGACGAGTCCTTGGGCAGCAGCTACAGCTGGGTCAGCCCAGAGGGCCAGCCAGAGAGCAGGAGGCCGCGGCGCAGACCGTGGACAGTGGCTGACAGGCTGCCGTCTGGGCGCCCTCCCGAGTCCTCCATTCTGAGTGTGCCGGGGGGGGGGGGTATGTGTCCGGCTCGCCGTGGGCAGGAGGCAGGCCAGGTCAGGGCCCGCTGGCCAAGCGCTGTCCAGCCCTGCTGCCCAGGCTACTTGAGGTCCCCCAGGGTTCAGGGCTTGCGCGGCAGCCAAGTGGCCGAGCTGGACGGGGCCACCCTTCCGGCCGACCAGAGGCACTGGCCAGCAGCAGCAGGACGGCCAGCGCGGAGGGGCATCGGCC